AGCTTAGCAATTCCTCTGGCACAATATCTGAAATACAGCTTTGCTATTAGACAGCAGCACCTACTTAGTCATTGACTTTTTTGTTTACACCTGTTCATTGGGTTTTTGTTTTTATATTCAGTTTATAGTTTTTTTATTGTGTTTCATTTTACTTTATTATATATTTCCGTTACTAACTTCAATTTAGTCTGTTTTTGGTTGTCTTTAAACTATTAGCCATTGTAATTTGATTAATTTGTATCTGTAATTTTTGTTGTTGAACCTTTAACCTCCTCCAGTAGGTTGTTATGAGTTAATAAATTGTTGTTGTTCAGTGCGGCATGTCGCCGGTACATAGTGTTTACACACTTTTTTTACCGTACCTTTTTTACTATTTAAAACTTAATTTTTTATAAGGCCTGCGGTGGACATCGACCATTGGGATTCGCGCTGTTCGACCAAGCAACCAATAGGAATCGTGCTCTTCGCAGAGTGACACTCATCCTGCGTAACAAGGGTCACGCGCCATCCTCCGGTAACGTCCGTGGGGCCGATGGTAGAGAATGAGTGACACTGCGATCCTGTCGCAGAGTGAAATAATCGACATTCGGCGAGTCGCACAATCGCGTCGCAGAGTTAGTTTTTAGCCCCCCATACATACATGATTTATTGGTCCTTTTTAACAAAGCTTTGAAAATCTTCCGTTGATGATGTCAAAGGTGAAAGCCGCGTAATGAACAACTTTACTGGCACAGTCTGTGTCTGGATCAGCAGTAATCCACTCTGGGACCTCGTTGACTTTTACGTTTATGGTTCACGGTGATAAAACCATCTCTGTTTTTGTCACGTGATTTCACGTTGCCATGGGCAGGTTTTCTTTCATTCAGTTCATGAGACTTGTGCGACGTAACCATACCTGCAAAAGTAACCGATGCAGTGGGGAGGAATGTTGCGGAGTAGGTTCAGCATTGCAACTCACTTTACTTGTTTTAGGACCAGATGGAGATAGTAAACAATCACTAGGCATGGGTACTGCATTTGTAGTAACAGTTGTACAGTTCATCTCCATGTGAGAATCTTTAAGTCTATTTTTAAGGTCTGGACGCAAATTCTGCACGTCTTGCAGTACTTCACAGCTTGAAGCCGATCGATACGTTCCTTGATCTTTCAGTTCCGTCATGTCTCGTCTTAGGGCTGTATTTCCTTCACAACTGCCGAGATATCTACATGCGTTATGTCGATTGGTGGTAATTTCGAAAAGTCTTTTGCAACAAAATTAGGGAGATCCTCGAAATCCGTCTCATGTAAAATGGCGCACGTGATACACTAAAACTGGGAAGTTATATAGTTGGGGAAAAAAACATTAAAGACTAATTTCACTGAAAGGGGTTTCCTAACATTTCCGTTCATCTTGTATTCTGGTAAATATTTCAATACTATTTCTGGCTTGAACGGGTTCGATTTCCGCGTCTAACAGCAAAAGAACACAACGATTCTAGTAAGTTTATAAAGTTAGTAATTTATCGTATAATCTATGTAATAATCTAACTTTGAAAGGAATGCAGTTTCGTAGCGTGAATCATGTCGGGAAGGGACAAGAAATATTAGGACACGTTTCTCAAAAAGCTTAACTGTAAAACACAAAATAATGTCATTTCTCATCGTACCATGCGACATTCGCTTCATGATTGTATATAATAAACTAATGTTCATTGTATGGGAAGGAGATTGGTTACCTTCCTCCCACTTGCCATTCGCAAGGAACGCCGGGAGTCGGCGAAGACTTTGAATGAGGGCGCTCATGTGTGAGGTCAGAGGTCAGCAAAAATGGTGTAAGATGCCGGTTGATGTCAGTTGTACTTTCACGAGTATGTGGGCGGATTTTGTTGGATTGCTTTCCTCGTTAACAACGGGTGCGTTACCAGCAGGTTTCCCTTTTTCATCGCGATTCTTCGTTAATCTCTTCCCCAGCCAGTGACAGTGCCAATGACCTTGTGACAGCATCCTGTTTGTATCTTGTGACTGTAATCTAGACTCGTAAAATGAAATGCCAATGGAGTTATTGGCCCATCATCAAATTTCTAGTACCTTTGGCGCTGACCATTGTTGTACAAGACTCGGCAGAACAGGTAAATGTTATAACTAATTCGACTTAAAATGCTTCTATTATTTGCTGCAGTTATAGCAGCTCATATTGGTTATGGTCCAGGAGCTGCGATCCATGCATAGAATATACCACAGTCCCTCAACACCGGTGTTGAGGGACTGTGAATATACACATAGTTTGCCGCCCTAATACACAGACAATGAATATTCACACTGATTTTGCAGAACAGAAAAACACCTGCCTAGCAATGCATTTATTTTGAGAGTGATTTCAAACAGTAAAATTTATACTAATAACATGCCTTTGCTGACTTAATATTATTGGCAAGGTTATGTTGACAAACATTGAATGCATATTATGTCTGGCAATGCTGCTTCTCTCATATAATTTTTATATATCTAATTAGAGTAATATACTTTCCAATATATTCTTTTCATTGCAGGCCCTGAATCGTGGTATGACATCAGCAACTAACTCAACACAAGTTCTTGCTAGCTTTGGTATCGGCTATAATTTAATCAAGTTTGCTACAGGCCCGCTTATGGAAATAAAACACAGTGGTCTAGTTCAAGTACATAGTATCGCTGACAGTATTCAAGTCGTATTCTGTGTTGCTGGATTTGCCGGCTTTATTGGCGCTTTTGCAGTATTAATCAGTAAGGAGTGAGTTGGTCTTTGTTAGTACTACTAGATATATGCCTTTGCTGATCAATTTCAAACTTCACACATACATCATGCATCTTGGCATACATATGCACATCAATTCCTTTCATGATTTGAAGATGGTCAAATGGCAGTCATTTTTATGCTAAAATTCATCAAAATCAAGCAATTCAGTTCAAAATGGCTGAATGGTAGCCATTTTAGTGCTATATATTTATGGCCTTCTGAAACTTGATTTCAGTCATGCATGGATATACTTATTTCATTCAATATTGGTATGTCCAATGAACATAGTGGGTCCTAGATGTAAGTCCTTTTTTCCCAGATTTGATTCAATGATTGCCTTTTTTTTTTAACAAATGCTGTTTCTGGAGCCTTATTGCGAACATTGGTGGACTGATTATGTTAGAACTTTACATATGCATTCATTTCAAAATCTGATTCTAGATTGCTTATCATCATTGTTGTGTTAGAAATGCATTATGAATAACATGGGCAGAATACAGGAAGAAATCGCACAAATAAACTGGCTCCACTTTGTATTGTGTCTGTTAAATGAATATAAATAATTATTTGGCATTAATGTTGTCAGTCACTAAAAACTGGATGGGGACTAGTCATTGACAATGAATAGTTCTGTTTGTATATTGGTCACATTTTTTAAAACGATATTAAACTTCAATTGGTTTCTCTTACATAACAATGTGTACAATTTCTGCAGATTTCACCAAGCTGGGTTACTATGTAGTTGATCAACTCTACAGTGTGGATGTTGTTGTGTCATCGATGACAAAACAGTGTATATTCTACCTTGGCTTATACCCACTAATAGATGGCACTGTGAGTATAATACTAATTCGGTAATCTTTCTATTATTTGAACCTTGACCATAAAAATATTTGTTATTGTTGAATCATTATAATTTTAATTCTTATCAATAATGACAAACTTCATGGTAAATTGACAGCTGTGGCCAGGCTTCTTCAGCAGGAATCTATTCATGGATGGATGACCAAGAAAATCTTATCCGTTTTTTTTTTTTTCAACAAGAACCCATTAACAAATCATCTGCACTTGCATTCTAATCATATTGGGTAACCATGGAGACTTGCAGCAGGGGATGTGTTAACTTGTTCAGTGTAACAGCAAAACTGTGTTTGTTGTACTGATTGTATCTACAAAAGCCACTAGTACATATAGAATGAGTCTGACCAAGTATTTTTCTCTTTCATTATGGGAATGCACCATTATATGATATGTGCTATTTCCCTTCACTACAAATGTTATTACCATTCCTCCAAAATCTAAGATTATGTCAGTATTCAAAACCATGATTCAGAGAGTTGGAGAGAGGCATGTAGTACCTGTTCCCTGATTGATGCGGTTAAATTTTTTTCATGTGCTGTGCTCAAAGGGCTCTATTGTAACAATATGTCTCATCTTATTCATCACATGTCTGACTTCAAAGGTAGAAATATTGTGTCATTACTTCTACACCAAACCAGTGGTTCAGGGTTCCTCTTTACATCTAGCCTTGTTTCGTGGTAAGAATCAAACAATTAAGCTTGTTGAAAGTGGAAGAAAAAAATAAGCAAAAATTGTCTCATTGGTTCTAAATGTTGAATAAACTGAAATAAATGCTGTTCATTGGTGTATTAAACTAAAGTATTACTACTTTTTGAATCATCTTTATTGTATTGTATTGTCTTTGGATAACTGACAGTTTTTGTTCAGCATAGAAAGAACATTTTCTCCAAACAGTTTCTTTTTACTGGTTTCTTTCCTATCGACAATGTTTGTTTACAAGGAAAGTACCGGTACTCTGTTGTAAATGAAATGAAGTTAATATGTCATACCTATACTGTATTTATAATCACGTATGGTTTGATTTCTAGTCTTGGATCTACAGTGGTATCCTATTACAATATAAATACAGTGTTATAGTCGGTGGTGCATCGCTTGCAGATATATTCATGCAGGTTAGTTTGTATGCATGTTTTTTTTATATATCTCTGTAGTGAAATGCTTAAAACAGCAGTTATCTCTCACAATGCACTTTCAGTATATCATATTTGCATTGTATGTTAATTCATCAAAATGCCTTTTTTGACAATAAAAACACCTCGTCACAAGCAAGCGTATGTTCTACTAAGAGCAAATACAGTATACAATGTTTGGTATAACTCTGAACTAATTTTCATCACTTTTGAAGAAAAACTGTTGGTATTTCACAAAAAAATAATTCAGTGGAAATTCTAAATAATTCTTACCATACGTACCTTATTACTGCATGTTAATTTAATATACACAACTTCGGTGCTGGTTTATTGCCATTATATTATTTATACCAATATCATTTTAAATGTAATTATATTATATTGGAATAACTTTAAATTATCAAAAACCATGTACAAATGTGATAAGCTCTGAAATACTATTTGCAACCTTGAAATTAGCCAGGGTAACCCACCCACTGCAGACAGCAATAACTATTTTTAATCATTTGCAAAATTTGGATTTTTGCCAATTTAATTGAAAGCTGGAATTAAGCCTACTGTTTGCTGCATATATTCATGTTTGGGGCCTTCTTCTAAACTGTGGTATCTTTGATATAGGCTATATTTTACCATGGCTTCCATATTTAACAAATATTCTACCAATCAGTATGCTCAGTTTGTCTATGGTCATTTTGATTAGCATATTCAAGAAATTGACTTATACTGATATACTGATTAATTGGTCTGACATTTGTTGTAAGCTAAACAATTGTGTGTATATTATCTCTAAACATTGTTGTGTTTTTCTTGTCACAGATTGGTGTTATTGCAGCATTATTACAAATTCCAAAGGCCAGTCTAGAGTCAATAATTGTACCAATTATAGCCTTATACGTAGGATGTATAGTCAGATTTACAATTGTTATGACTGGCTACTTTGTATGTGTACACAGAAAAATGAAAGCACTGCCATTGGGTGATCCAAAGGTAATATGACCTTTTTAGCTCCGCTGTTGACTTTGTCGAGCGGAGCTTATCATATGAGTGATTGTCTGTCGTCCGTGTCAATGATTTACTTTTTGGACTTCTTCTTGAAAACTACAAGCCTGAATGCTTTGATACTTGGTGTATATGTACCTTGGGTGGACCTCTCTTAGGTTTTTTCATATCATGATGATATCTTCAATTTTCTAATTTTGGTGAATATTTTTGTCATTTTTGGTAAAAAGTGATATTTTAGACTTCTTGTTAAAAACCGCAAGTCCAATTGTTTTGTTATTACATATATAGGTACTACATGTGGACCTCTCTCAGATTTGTTCATTTTGTAATGATATCTACAATTCTCTAATTTTGGTGAATATTTTTGTAATTTTTGGTAAAAACTGATAATTTTGACTTCTTGTTAAAAATCGCAAGTCCAATTGCTTTGATATTACATATATAGGTACTACATGTGGACCTCTCTCAGATTTGTTCATTTTGTAATGATATCTACAATTCTCCAATTTTGATGAATATTTTTGTCATTTTGGTGAAAAGTGATATTTTTGACTTCTTGTTGAAAATCGCAAGTCCAATTGTTTGTATATTACATATATAGGTACTACATGTGGACCTCTTTCAGATTTTTTAATTTCGTGGTGATATCTTCACTTATCTAATTTTGATGATTGTTTTTGTCATTTTTGGTGAAGTGATATTTTTGAATTCTTGTTGAAAACAGTAAATCCGATTGCTGTGATACTATACATATTGTTCATTTTCTAATGATATCTTCTGTTCGTTAATTACAATGTGCATTGCTTACAGCGGAGCTATCTCAGCCGACAGGCTGCTTGTTTATTTATAGCTTGCTGGTATATATAACAAACAAAACATACTAAAATAAAATAAATCAACAATTAATTTCTGTAAACTGATAAATTGTTGATAATTTGAAGGTTAACCTAGTAAATTTTTATGAAAATTAATTGCTACAACACTGTATGCTTATTCTGACTTTGATTCTCATGAAATTATAGAAATTATCACAAAAATGAACCCGATCACTCCGTGAGTAATAATGTCATCCATGCTACGTATTTATATACAAGGTCTTCTTGGTTGGTGAAACAGTTCACTCAAAATGACATTCCATTTTGTGTGTCACATGAAAGTGATGCTGTGACAGCTTAGTGAAGATGATCATCAATAACTATAATTTTAGCAATTATTACCGGGGTAGGTTTATATACCAAGTACTAGTTTAAAGTTATTTGGTCTCAAATGTATGTTTATTTTTAATTTATAAATTAATAGTTTCAGCAGTATTCTACACCATTAAAATGCCTAATCAG